TTTCTCTTTGCAAATAAAAGTGAGACGTGAAAAGTCTTTCCCACCAGCCTTCTAGTGCCTGGAAATAACTTTGTACACTGCATCAAAATCCTCTTAACACTTAAAACACACTTAATTCTCCTCCACTTTCCCTATACTACAAATAGCTGGGCATGTCAGGGACAACTATCAAAGTGTGGTGTGTACACAGCTGGAGCCCAGGCAGCCACTCTGATGTGACTGTGTCACTAGAAGAGGAGGTGAAGAACAGGCTGGGTGACAGTTCAGCAGCTGCCTCATTAAGCTAGGGAAACAAAGAGTCACATAGTTTGGGTTTTCTAAGCAATGAGTTTGGTGTGACCCAAAGAGCTAAAAATCTTTACTCCTTTAGAACATGGAAATAACACTAGATGATGAAATACTACTTTTGTCATTTCAACATAGATATAAATATCTTATATGAAATGGATTACCATTTGACTTTACTCCCTAACAGTTTTGCACAGTCAGTTCAGAGAACAGAATGTTATGTAAGAAAGAAAAGTATTTGGAAATTAGCTAACTTCTACCCTACTTATAGACTCAGCCATGTTTAAATTGCTACTTTGAGATATTTTACTAGAATTCAGGCCCAGCAATAAAGTGACAGTGCTAGAATTTGGTAGATTTGTTACTCAAAATGTACTTTCATATGATTTACAACGTCTGAGAAGTTAGATATCTTAAAGTATCTTTGTTCTTAGATTTGAGAAAAATGATATTCTCAAGAAATTAAAATGAAATTTAGGTTCATTAATATAGAGTATACTACTTATACTTTGTGAAAATGCTCCAAAATTCTAACATTTCCCCATCTAATATTTGAAAATGCTTAATATATAGAAAACATTATCAGTTTTATGTCGGCATACTTTGTATTCAGTCCCATAACATAAATTTATACCAAAATGAGAGGGAGACAAGTTATCATTGTAATTAGAATCGCATACATCACCATCTTTCCCCTTTTTGCTGTGGCTTCTAGTAAAGCCTCAGGTTAACCTCACACTTAACTATAGAACTTTTCACAAGGGTAGAGACTAACATTATCTATGGCTTAACTTTTTTTGATCATAAATTATGAAGTTATTATCAAATGTTACCTTTAGCCATTTTTGAAAGTATTAGGTATGCAAAGAAAAGTCAGATGTTTTTGATAGGAAAATGCTACTTAAGCCTGAAGACTGTCCATAAGTAGGTGCACCAATAATGATCAGATTACATATATTGTTAAATTAACCCTTTGAAAGCTTTCAAAGAGTTATAGTAATGCACTAGACAAATCCAAATTATAAATGGGAATATAGCTTGTGCTCATATACTCAAATTAACAGAAAATACGATGTTGTTAAAACATAACTTTGAAAGTATAAATATCTTCTCAGGAAAGTTTTAAAGTAGAGGTCTATAAATTCTACATTTTAGAATGTGCAATAGGTGCAGATTCTGAATTTGAATATAGCAAAATTAAGTTGACTTACCTACTTACTATTCAAAAGTTGTTCAATAATAATTAGAATCACAATTGTCCCCTTAAGATATTAAAGACATTCAGCACACCAATGTCATGCAAAATCCACAGTGCACACATAAGTGACAGGTGTAACATATTTTCAGACATTACTAATAACTTTCTCCAAAGATGCTGTCCTGAAGAGGGCTCACAGTGGCTGCCAGTTTCCCTGATTTCTTGATCTGTTTATCCTGCATCAGGTCACATAGACATTCTCAGGTGGTGACAGCAACTCTGGGGTGGGTCACAAAGGCTCCACAAAACTGTCTTTTGGTATTCATATAGACCTCTCATTCAGGTCATGCACAGATAAGAACAAGAAATCTCTAAAAGATTCTTCATCCTGAATTGACAACTGACAACCAGAAGTCAAAGAAACTTATGTTTTATTTTTCTTCCAATTCAACATAATAAATTCCTCATGTGACAATATAAGAAGCAAAATCAGAATTGCATATAGAACTGCCATACTAGACAAATCTTTGTAAGATGATATTTATAAGCTTTCTTTATATTAAGATGTGACTGAATCCATTAAATCATTCTCCAATTTCAGAAAGAGAGCATTGGTAAATGAAAAATATTTGACAAAAATCAAGGATTTCTATGTGTTGATTTCTACCAACCTGGTTGTATTTTCTAAAACATGATCCTAGACAGACCCAGACTGACATGTTAAACAATAGAGACAAAATTTGATATGCATTTTAGCAAATAAAATTATTACACAATAGTATATACTGTTGCTTTTTTTAAAAAAGAATGTAAAGTGAAACATACACATAGAAAAATTAGTTAATAAATGAGGGCATCAGCTAACTGTCCTTAGATGTATTTTGGGTGCTATCATTGTCTTAGAAAAGAGGAATAACTAGGATAAGATCTAATTAGCTCTAATTATAATCATATTCACCAAAGGAAGTCCTAGTTGGCAAGACTCATATTGCAAAGGGTAACCACGCAGTAATGGTTGTCTTTTAGCATATAATATACTACATATTTGGAAGAAGCTGAAATGATTTAGTTTTGACTAATGTCCTCATTATCAGGGTCTGATGGAAGACAGCAGCGAACAAAGCCACAGTATCCAAAACAGACACTGCAGAGCTGTTCTGTAGCTAAGGACTGCAGATAGTCCTTACAAAATGGCCTCCAAGTCTAAACCGGGTGAGCCAAATGTTAACTGAAAGTCAAATCTCTCTGGAAATGAAAAATTATATAAGAAAATACCTAAGATATAATGTGAGTTTTTTTCTGTCATATACCACAGTGAATTTTTAAATCTTCTATTTTGACAAACATCAAGCTATTTTGTGTATTTCTAATTTGTGAATGCAAAGCAGTACTTCAAAGGCTTTATACATTAGATTTTTAGGCCACAAGCATGAAAAGACATAATATAAAAATTTAGTAGCTACCTGAAGGAAACGGAGTTAATATCCTCAATGAAACATCAGAGACGATCATTACAAGTGTTATGGTATTCAAGGTAATATTTTTAAATGTAGTTATTAATAAAAGTTCTTTAAAATTGTATCTTCCAGACACAACTAGGTAACAACGTGTACCAAGTTATTTTTATTTTGCTCAGGAATGAATTGAGTCCAAATTTGCATAGCTTACTGGCATTCCCATGACAGCAATCTCAATTAGTAAAACACTCTAAGAAAGGCACAAAATATGAGAAATCTCCTAACCCAAAGCATCTGAGTATACCACAAAGTCTTCACTGTTAACTCTGTGATGAGTATAAATCCAGGGAACAGCCATATTGGACCATTCCTGTGGCTGAATTACACACAACACTTCTAAAGTTTCCCTTTTGTTATGATCAGATGAACCGCACCCTACATGGCAGAAACGGCATATGCAAAGTCACAAAGATTTCCTATAAACTTGGCCTCCAGTGTGTCAGCTTTCCACCCTAGCACCAAAATAGTGGACATTTAAGCAAGCTAATGGACTTTATTGTACCTATTATGCAATTTTCCTATGCAAACAGATCCTGTGCTGATCCAAACCTCATGTCCCTTATGGGAAGACAATGGCAACGTTAACATTTATATGCGAAGGAGAATATGTTTGAAAATATTCTTTAAAAATAATATGACTGAAAATTAAAATAAAAGCACATATTTTCTAAAGGTTCTAATGAGGTTGTTAGCAAAAATATAATGAATGTTGTTAGAAACCACATGATTATGGTGGGGCCATGCGTACTACATTAATCACCTTTTAGTAAGCATATAACACATAAGCAATCAAAATACACTTTCCCCATAAATGTATATCACTGACAGAAAATGTGCATTAAGTATACTCCTATTGTTCTCTCTGAAATAAAAGACAAACCAAGGTCAAATGAAAAACAACCAAGTCCCATTCTTTGCCTTACCGCCACTTGCTCGCCATTCAAAAATTAACATATTCTTTAATTAAGAATGTTTTGATGTTTAGATAATTACAAAATTGCTTAAACACATATCATAACAGAAGACTGATTTCTCTATTTGGAAATTATATTATTGTGGAAGGGAGGATAACCAGAGCTTATCTCTGGTGTGGTTAGCATGCTTGGGTTTCAATGGCAAAAGGAAGTCTTTTAGATCTAGTAGATGATATGGTTTTATTAGAAAAGAAAATTATCTTTTTATTGTTGTCAATTGCTCTTAAATTTTTCTTTAATAAAATTTCACAGCAATCTGCTCAAGAGGATATACTAAAGGCCTTTTATTATATACACCCTAAAGAATGTATTGTACCACAAAGATACATACCCAATAAGATTTTTTTCATCTGAAATTTATAAAGATAATTCTCCATGCTGACAGTGCACATTTCATCCATAGGTTTGAAGAGTCAAATGCTACCACAGCTGGGGGTTATTCTGCCAAATGGCTTCCAACAGGGGCTACAGAGATGGAGGCTAGGAGGCATGTGTGTGTGCACGCAGGAAAAGCAACAGACCTGATGGGAAATAGCCTTGCTCTGGAGTCATTTTTATCAATTACCATCCAAGGAAGCTAATCAAACATAGAGTCTCATAGAAAAAGCAACAATAGCAGGAAAGCAAATATTAGAGCAGCTGCTTGATTGCCCTCAGAGATTAAAACAAAAAGCCAGGGGTGAGACTAATATATTTCTTAGGGATTTTCTAAGGCTGTGGGGAGGGGTTAGGGGCATACCTTTAAAAAAAATCATGAAAGGAACTGAGACAAGATTATAAAAAAGGGACCAAGTTATAGCGCACCATGGGATTTTTAATCTGGCTACCTGTGGTTTCTGTAGTTAAAGCCTTATTCATCCTCCAAACGGGGGTGGGTGGGTGGGGGGAGAAAACAAAAATCACATTTATATGTCAGGTTTGCAAATGATCAAACAGCGTGCATCAAGAAGAAGAAGAAAACATGAAACGCTGATGACTTTTTAAAGATAGACACCCGTTTTAGCAAATATTATTGATAATTACCTGTGCATCTCGTTTCTTGGACTCTTGAATTTGATTTTCGTGCTCCATATTGGCAGCGCGGAAGCTGTTTCTCCAGGTTTTCAATTTCCCGTTCATGGTCTCGGACTAGGCTATCCTTCTCTGCGTTATGCTGCTGTAATAGGTGCGTCTTCTCCTGTTCATGCTCCAGCTTCAGCTCTACTATCTGATTGGACAATGAGGAGGACAGTTCATCAACAGAACATCCTTGTCGTCATGACAACTCATGTACAGCTTAATTTTTCTCTAATTTGCTCAAGTTGAAAATTGTATTTTTGCGTCATTATTACCCCACCCTTAAAATACCTCCATTTGATGGGGAGCATTTTATCTAAAACTGCTAATATTCAAGACACTTTTCATAATCAGGAAATCCTTTGCAATCTGTTGACACTAATGTTTGAACATTGAAAATTTTACATTGAAGCTAGGTATTTCCTCTCCAAGAATTGGGCATTGCTGATCAGCAATGGTTGCAAATGGTTAACAGTTAGTATGCTTTGCTTTCTGCTTGAATATATACATGTAAAAAGCAGCAATTAAATCGATCAGTTCCCTTTATGATTTTCCAATAAAAGATCTGTGCTTAATACGCATCTGGATTATTGTATATACAGTTGTCTTTTCGAAATAAAATGATAATTTTCAAAGCTCTATTATCTCTCTGTCAGCTACGGTATACCAACATAAACAGATGTTATGTCTTCCAGAAGGGCACCTGCTGTGCTGCAAGCCTGCGCCATGATTTCATAAAAAGCCTTCTATTCTCAGGGCCCTTTCCCAGTCCACTCCACACTGGAGACTGTGACCTTGGCCAGTCTTAGCCTCTCCCTGCTAGACTGAATGGCAGCCTGAGACCAAGGGCCTGGTTGCCGCAGCTTTGATACTAATCCTCCCAGACTGTGCACAATGGCACCCTACCTGGCCTGCAAACTATAGCCAGCCAGGCTGTCTTTGAAGCAGGTGATGAATAGGGGACTGCAGGAAGCCAGCTTCCCCAGTGAACTCCAGGCCACACAGCTGCTAAGAACAGTCACTTGGATTTTTCTTCAGTTTTGGTGGATTTCAGGGAGGGGGGTGCTGTTATTTAGAATATGTTGTGTTATTTTCGGCATGAGAATCCATCTTCAAAAAAGCTACAGTAGGAGCCTGCTCCAAATCGATCTTGTTTCCTGCAATGAATCACCAGACTACCTTATCTTAAAGCTATAGCAGTCATTTCTCCAGGAATGCACACAGCACTAAATCTCAGAAGTCATTTTCCTATGAAATTTTAACTTTTCAGTCTCTAATGGCAAATCAAAAATCAAAACATAAATTACGTTTGCTTTAGATTAGAACATACGTTTAAAAATATTTAGAGTTGGAATATCAACAATAAATTTAAAATCATTCATAAATGAGTTATACAATTTAGAAGAAATGCATGCTAAAGCTTGAACCCCACTTATGAGTGTGTTACAATACATAAATAATATGGAAAACATGTTTTTCATCTGAGACCAAAGATGTATTCTAGTGAATTTATTTAAAATTTGGGTGTTTGCCCCTATACTATTCCAATGTTAACAGTAAAGAGAAAAAATAGTGTTTTTTTTAAAAATATATACTAAGCACACCAAGTAGTAAATAAGTGTTTTTATTGTTTAAAATAAACATCTATGTTTTATTCTGTGATTCATACAACTATAATGCTAATCCCAAATAAAGAGAGAAATTAAAAAGTGCCATTATTAGGGCAGACTTTCAGCAGCTAACTGTATGAATTATTGAACTGGAATATCTCTAGTTCTTAGACACATTGTTATTCCTACTCAGTGTTATAATAGCAAATATCATAATAAAATTTTAAAACATTAATCAAAATTATTCAAATACATTCTACAGTGAAGAGAAGTAGAAGGAGACAAAGAAAGTTCTACTTAGGTCTTTGAGAACTTAAAAATTGGGAGCATGGGTATGATTGAAAATTCATAGAAAGCAAAATACTTATAAGTAACCAAACAACCTGGGATTAGAATGGAGAAAATGCAGAATATTTCACTTCAAAGGACATATGCCAAGAAATATGAGTGAGGCCACTAGTAATAATATCCAGTTCATATACAATGTATTGGGATTATATTCACCCCATTACTCTCTGGTATGTCCCCTCCTTTCCTTTTGAATAGTGTCTTCTTCTCACCTAGTCCCCACATTGTTTCATTAAAGAAAATGACATCATTTCCTTCAACAACCATTTATAGTCATTAGCTCCTTAGGAAGAGACTGGACCACATCGGCAACTCCTATATTCATGATGGAAATTGGAGAGCCAGTCTTGTGCATGAAGTTTGCTGAATGTGTGAGGTGCAATTTATTGGATATTATGTTTGTTCTATGATCAGGAATATACACCTGATACTATAAACCAGGCAAAAAGCTGATGGCTGGGAGGGCATGAGCCCAAGGAAGGAACACATTGCCATTGTCTCCCCCATTTGAACACACAGTCAGACAGCCATCTAAACGTTTACACCCATAGCCTGCTACAGCTTTTAGCCTGGGACAGAGATGACTCTTTTTGCAGAGGGTAGCGGTTAAAGCAGAAATGTGTATGTCACCAGGGTTTTGAGAATAATGACTGAAGAGCACTGTCCATATTCCTACCCCCAAGGCCTAGAGCACATTACAGAAGGGAGGCTGGAAAGAATCCAGGACACAGAGGATGGAAAAGACTGTCATGAAACGCTACCATCCAGGTCTGACACTCCCAAACTCTTTTACAATCTAGTAATAATATGCTCCCACACAACTTCACTAACTCTCTAACCTCAGTATTCTGAGAGCCTGTTCAATTATTCTGCATTGGTCAAATATGTTTCCTCACTAAGAAAAAAAAGGCCTGGGAAAAAGGAGAACTAGTTAATAGAATTTCAACTGCAGAAGTAGATGTTCATGAATTGTTAGTTTAATATTCTGCCTATTGCCTGGTGAGTCTTAAGGAATAAACCTCAAGGTTAGTGAGTCCTAGTAAGGGCAAGGCTTGGGAATGTCTGCTCCCATGCACACTTTGTGGCTAACCTCTAGATGTCATAAACCTCTTCTGGACTCAGCTTAGGTTTCTTCACTGTCAGATTCTCCTGTATTCTCTAGACAAATGGCGGAGTCCACAGGAAAAGTTCAGATGTTCTGGGAATATTCTGAAGATATTATTCACAAACACAAGGGACATCACTTGGGAAGAATTGTGTTAGAAACCAAAGCTTTGCTAGTCCCTGGTCCTTCCTCAAGTGTGCTACCATAAAGAGAGGTCTTTCAGACTCCAACATGTTCCTTTACTCATGAGCATAGCTCACAGGGAAACAGCACATTTTCCTTATCTTAGACTCCTGGATACTTTGGATGGAGCAACCAAGTCTAATAGAGCTAATGAAGATGAGGAGTTAAACTGTAGAAAATAGGACAACACCCACATGGCAGATTTTGAGTGGTCAGTGAGATTCTAAGTCAAGGGAGGCGGGGAGGCCCAGGCCTTTGTATTTGCAAAGGGGAACAGGACACACAGTGACAAAGACTGGCTACAGAAGTCCTCACAAACAGCCAAGAGGGTTTCACATTTCTAATCTAAAAGGGCTGAGGCAAGGGCCATCCAAAAGCATGTTTGGACATCTATAAAAGATGGTATGGAGAATTAGAACGACAGACTGGAGTGACAGCTCAGTGGTTAAGACCTGGGTTTCATTCCCAGCACCCACATGGATGGCTCACAAGCACATACATCTCTAGCTCCAGCGGGGTCCTACACCTCTCCTGACTTTTACAGGCATTACTACCCTCTCACACATGACACAGCAACATGCACACGCAACTAAAATAATTAAAATAAATATTTTTAAATGAAAAAAGAAATAAAGAACTTAGTGAAAATAAAACAAGGAAAAGAAGGAAGGGCCTTCATGATGAAGGGGGAAATATACCTTCAAAATCAGGAGCAGTTATAGGAACATTCAGCAAGAACATGAGTACAATGACAGAATTTAAAGCCCACATGATAAACAAGATAATTCAGTTCAGGTCAAAATAAATCCATCATAAAACTAATCTAAATTAGACCCAATAACGAGCAGTATAAGCATGGCTGAAAACCAAATCAGGGATGTAGACAAAAGGCTTTAGAAAAGCAGAGCAAAAGTACACAGAAGAATAAATTCAGAGAAAGTAAAAAGAAAATAAGAAATCCATGTAGCGCACAGGTATGAAAACTGAAAACTTCCCTAAATAAACCAGAACAAAAATGCACATGTCAGAAGTGCATACTGTGCACCAAGGAAGGAACTGAGGAAGAAAGAATGGCTCAGGGTTATCACTAGGTTCAAACATGGATGGCCTCTCACCCAAACCAGTCTTAAAAACAATGAATTGCAAATAAAATTTGAGGAACTGTGAGATGACTGGAAAAACAACATTTAGCGTCAAAAGACAATGAGAAATGTACCCACAACACTGGGGAAAGAAAGGTTAGACAGAGAGTATGGTGTCCAGTCGAGCTGTCCTGTATAGACACACTGATTATGGGTCCACCACACAGTGACCACACTGTGAGCTCTTGCAAAGTTGTTCAATGATGAGATCCAATCACACCCAGAACCTCAATGACACTGATTTAAATAAACCCAAATCTATAAAGCTGTAGGGAGGGTAATAAGACAGAATATATATGTTACAGAGCTCAATAATGGAAAATCAATGCCATAAGTAACAGAAAGGCAGCAAAAAAGTCTATGCAAGTTGTTTTGCAGTAGGGAATAACTAATGTCTTCAAAATATTTAAAGCACTGAAACCTCAATGTGCTAAAATCAGTATTTCTTAACATTCTAAGAACTCATTTCTTAAATGAAGAAATAGCTTTCTAAACTTCAGAAATGCTTCAGTTTCTTTTATTCTTCATCCAAATTCACATAAAATTAAATTTTACATTTTAACAAAACTGTTAAGTATGGCACCGTCTTGCTCTAAAAATCTGTTTTGTCTCTAACCTACTTATCCTTAAATTTATCAACCTCTTATGAAATTTACGTAGTGACACCATTAACAATAGTCATTTCTGGATGATCTGAATGAAGTTAGTTCCCATGTCATGAAACAACAGCTCCCTTTGGAGGACTATTTCCATAAGGTGGTGT